GATTCCTGGGCTCAGCCCTGCCCCTTGTCATGTCTGAGCCTGACCCCAGGTGCAACGTAAGCTCTGAGCCTTGTCCCAGATAGCCTGGATCCTTGGCTCTCTGAATGATCCCTGACCCTTGCCATGAGCTAAATGCTGACCCTTGTCACAGGGCCTGGTGTGGCAGATGACTTCTTTGTCCTGTGGGTCCAGACAGCAGCCCTCTGACCTGGCCACTGCTCCTGGGCCTACGGGCCTGGGTTTCCTCCCACACCTGGTGGGGCTCAGGCGAGGAACCACAGGTGAGGCAGGAGGCGGGCGGGGCTGGGGGACACCTGATAATGGTGCCAATCTATAATCCACATAAATGGAGAAGCAGGGAGTTCCCGGCAGGGGAACCTGCCCAGGCAAAGGCATGTGCCAGGGGACTCAAGCAGCACAGCACAGCACAGCAGGATCTGGGGCTGAACCATGTGGATCCTGGGGCTCCAGGCAGCTTCAGGATGTTGAGGGCGGGGCGAGGGGAGGAGGTGTCCTATAGACCCCCTTAACACAGACTTGAGTTTTTTCAACCAAAATAGCCATCACACTAAAAGAGGCTCTTCAAAGAGTTGAAGGTAAAAACCAGATTAAAGGCATGCAGACCACGACGTAAAGGACTAGGCCCCCCGGAACATTTTGGTGCTTCAGTGAGTGGCCCACCCCCACCCAGGTACTCTGACCCCGTTTGGGAAAATGACTTCTTTCAGACCCTCTGCAATCTTTATCTTCCACAAGGTCTCTTCAGCTCTCATTGGAGAACCAGGTCCCTTCCAACCCATCCAGGGGGAACATGTCTTCCCGGGTCCTGGTACCCCAGGGGCTAGCGTTGGCATCACCCCTCCCTGCACTTCCCTTCCTCACGAACTTCCCTCTTTGGAACTTAAGGCCAGTTGCTCACACTTCCTTCACCTAGTTGCCCAGGAAAGCACACCCTGTTTCCTTTACATTCCCGGCCCCTAACCCTGTCTCCTACTTGTCTCCGTCATTCTCAGAGACACTTGCACAGCCAAGGAGAGCTGAGCAGGCTGCTCACTGCACGGGGCGCCTGGCTGATGGGGACGGGCTCAGTTTTCCTTTATACTCAGCTGGCCACTAGGTGGGTCTGTGAGAGGCTGGCTCTGTCTGAGGAAGGGCAGCCCTTTTCTCATGGGCACAAAGGCACCGTGTGGGCCCCTGGAAGGCGGGCAACCTCGGGATTAGTCAGAAGGTGGGCTGCAGTCCAGGTTCTCAAGTGAAGGAGCTGCTTCGATAATCCCAGCAGGGCCAGAAGAGCCGTCAGGAGGAATGCAACTAGTGGGTGTCAGGAAGGAACGTATTTAGTAGGCGCTTCCAGGGATCCAAGAGAAGGCTGTGTGCCAGGCCCTGCTGATGGGACCTGGGGGAGTAACTCCTCTCCCACCTGCCTCCGGGTTGGGCTCCCTTGGGAGGAGTGCTGGGCTGGGTGGGTGCCATCTGGAATATGATACGCCTGTGATCACTCCCAGATTCTGCAGGGAGGGCCTCGGGGTCTCTCCGTCACGGCTGAGGGCACACCACTGGCGGGCAAAACTGGCCTGTCCCCAAGAAGCCATTTGGCCCACCTCCCATGCCTACTTTACAAACAGGGAGACTGCGGTCCAGAGAGGGAAAGGCCGCCCCGAGTGAGAGGTGCCCAGAGTCTTTGCGCGCACCTTTGGAATCGGTATCTAAGTTCTGCTCCTCCCTACGTCCTCCCTGCCGCCGCTCCAGTCCACCTTGTCCCACTGATGTTGATTCTCTCCAGACGCTCCCACAACGGGATCTTTGCGTGGCGGCTCCCCCCACACTCCAGGTCTTCAGCTCCTGTCCCTGAACATCTGTTTACGTTGCACGCCTTCCCCCTTCCCCCTTCCCCCTCCTGGCACCGTTTACCATTTAGGACACGTGTGTCTGTTTTCTTGCTCAATGTCTCTCCAACTAGAGCACTGGTTCTCAACCTTCTGGCCCTTTAAATACAGTTCCTCATGTTGTGGTGACCCCCAACGATAAAATTATTTTCGTTGCTACTTCATAACTGTAATGTTGCTACTGTTATGAATCGTCATGTAAATACCTGATATGCAGGATGATCTTAGGCGACTCCTGTGAAAGGGTCGTTCACAGCCAAAGGGGTCGCGACCCACCAGTTGAGAACTGCTGAACTAGAGCTTTAGCCCCCTGTGGGCAGATGGGGTGGCAGTTTTCTGGCCCCCGTCACCGCCTGTTTGTCTAGCCCAGTGCTGGGCATGTTAGTAGGTAGGTGCTGAATGAACATTCACTGAATGGAAGGATGGCTAACGGAGCACATTATGCAGTCAGCCTCTGTAACTAACTATTCACTAGTAAGGAAGCCCACTTCCTCAAGAGGCTCCCTTCTCTTTCTACCTTGTATGTGAACATTCATTTAAGCAGAACACGACGAGGAGTGTAAACAAGGCCATGCGGTGATTTCATGGAGCCGGAGAGGGCACCGGCTCCAGGCAGCGAAAGACTGAATCAAGTGCAGACCGGGACAACGGAACACGGGAGCCATGGTTTAATCAAGTACCTGTCAGTCAATCAGTTATTAATTGCTGAGCAAATATTTAGTGAGCCCTTCCCACATGGTTATCTTTATGTGAAGAGTTAATCAAATCCCGTAAGTTCTTCAAAGACCTAGTGCCAGAGCATCCTCTTCAGGAAGATACCCTGATTGCACCAGCCCCTTTGACCCTCTCCCTTTCCTTCTCATTTCCCGGGAGGTGAGACTCCACTCTAGTCCACGCCACTTGTGCCACCCAGCTCCCTCACTTGAATCCAGGGCTCTTACCTTGAAGAGGGTAGAATAAACTGTAGATGAGGGGACAGGCCATGACGACCACCTGGCCCCGAGGGGTGGCTGGCCAGCAGGTGATGTTGTCCCACATCGTGCTGCAGCCTGTGGGGTAATGGCAGGGGACACATGGGTCAGCATGGCCACCAGGTGCCTCCAGCCACTCTTCTTCCTCCTCCTCCTCCAGGCTCCCACCTCGAGGAGCCTGTGGTCTGAGAGGGGAGGCACAGCCCTGCCCAGGCTGTACAGGGCCCGTCCTGACAAGGCACAAGGAGGAGGCAGACTATAGCTCCACGGTCCTCAGCGAGGGGCAGAGCGGCCCAGGGGTATTTTGGACAGTAGTGGGGGATTTCTTGGTTGCAGAATGGGGGCCTCACCCTGCATTTGATGGGCAGGCAGGCACCAGCTCCAGCGTGGCCCTGCATAACAATGAATTGCAGAGCTTCTGCAAGACTTTCAAGTGAGCCACTGGGCACTTGCATCGGTAAATCCTGTTGCAATGACCAGAGCCTGGACTCACTCCATTTCCCATACAAACACAAGGTATTTATGGCACGTGTAACATGCACAGTGTTCCCGGAGTGCAACTACTGAGTAATGGGAGAGAAGGCGGGGCTTTGGCGCTTTCTGAACTTTACTGAAAGTTGTTTAATGTTTTGGAAAAGCATGTTCCCTACAGCAATGCTGCCCATGACATCTGAGCCAGGGGTGCAACCACCGCTATATACCAACCTCCATCCATAGCCCTCCCATTCCCTGAGGTTATATTTATAGGTCCAATCTTCTTATCTTCCAGTGGGATCAGGCCTGGCTTTGTTAGATAGTATTTAATTATAAATTCCTTTCCTTTCTTCTATGTTACAATTAGAACATCATTTTTTAAAAAAATGTGTGGCCCTAGTTGGTTTAGCTCAGTGGATAGAGCGTAGGCCTGCGGACTGAAGGGTCCGGTACGATTCCAGTCAAGGGCACATGCCTGGGTTGTGGGCCCGACCCCCCAGTCGGAGTGTGCAGGAGGCAGCTGATCAATGTGTCTCACATCTGTGTTTTTCACTCTTTCTCTCTCTCTCCCTTCCTCTCTTCCTCGCTCTCTCTCTCAAAAAAAAAAAAAATCAATGAAAAAAAATATCCACGGGTGAGGATTTAAAAAAAAGCTGAAATGTTTGCAACCTACATAACTATAATAAATACTTTCAGGA